TTGGACAGATAGAAAATCAGGGATATCTGCTATGAAAAGTTGAGATGGGACTTTCTGGAAGCAGCTTGAACCCAACAGGCTGGTCAGGACACCAAAAAGAGAATCTTTTAGGGGCCAAATTGAACGTAATTTTTCTTTTCCTACCTACTGCGAGAAACATTGTTCATTAAACCCTTTCAAAATGTGTTGGTCTATTTATTTTCACTGTTGGATGTCCCTGAGGTGGCCCATTAGCCAGACTGCTTGCAGATGAGACTCTGAGAAAAAGTGCACTCAAGCAACAAGGAAACCTGTGGAGCCAGGTTTTGGGCCAGGGTGCTGAGAGAGCAACAAGACGACAACAAGAAGAGCATCGCCACAGCTGTCTTTACAAATTTGTGCAAACTGTGAACAACGGCAACATGTGTCCTGCTATGATCTGACATGGAGAAAACCAGCTATGCGCAGCCAGCAAGCCAGCAAGTAGGGAGGGGCCGTGCCTGGATTTAGCCCAGACAGCACCCAGCACGGCAAAATGACTTGCTCTGGCTCTGCATGAACATGGTGGCCAGTACAGTCCTGCTCCCATAAGGGTGCACCAGCCAGGGAGCCTGTAAGCAGGACATGTGCCGGGGGGGCCATAGCTCTCTGAACAGCAGTCTCCTCCCCCGGGGCTAGGGAGGGCTGAGAAGTGCAGGTTCAGAGGGGGGAACCCCAACACAGCAGCCTGGTGAGGAAGAGAAATAACACACTCAACAAGAAGACAGGTTAACCTTGGCTAAAATGCCTGCTGTTTGTCCTGGTTTCAGCTGAGAGGATTGATTTTTCTTCATAGTAGCTAGTGTGGGGATATGTTTCGGATTTGTGCTGGAGACAGCATTGATAATATAGAGAAGTTTTTGTTCTATGGACTTATTGTTGAGCAGTGTTTACACGGGGCCACGGCCTCTTCTGCTTCTTGCACTGCCCTGCCAGCGGGATGGCTGGGGGTGGACAAGAAGTTGGGAGGAGACACAGACAGGACAGGTGACCCAAACTGACCAAAGGGATATTCCATACTATATGACGTCATGCTCAGTTTATAAGGAGCTTGGGGGAAGAGAGAGAGGGGGGCGGCAGCGTTCGGAGCGATGGCGTTTGTCTTCCCAAGTAACCGTTACGCGTGATAGAGCCCTGCTTTCCTGGAGATGGCTGAACACCTGCCCGCCCATGGGAAGTGGTGAATGAATTCCTTGCTTTGCTTTTGCTTGTGCGCGCGGCTTTTGCTTTACCTATTAAACTGTCTTTATCTCAACCCACGAGTTTTCTCACTTTAACTCTTCTGATTCTCTTTCCCATCCCGATGGGGGGGAGTGAACGAGCGGCTGCGTGGTACTCAGCTGCCGGCTGGGGTAAAACCACGACACTGTTGAAGAGTTAGCCTCCTCGAGGAGGAAAACAAAACTGTTTTCTTAGTGACAGAGAAGAAATATGTGAATCCAGGAGAAGCTGATCAGGAAAGACATGCTTATGAACAAGAGCTTAGCGATGTGAGAAAAGATACAGTGGGGGAAAGAAAAGAAAAAAAGGATTGCAAAGATGTTTGGAAACATGGGAATGCATCTACTGGTAGAAAGAACATAGATATGAAGACGGCTTATTTTAAAGATAAAGACAGGGCTGATACAAAGCCCATTTAATTTTGTTTAGCTTTGGATCACGAGCAATGATAGACATACACTAAGTAATGAATGATGGCTTGAAGTTAACATCTGATTAGGTTGGCATCTGTGAGGTCCTCATCACTGTGATCCACACTGGATCTCTCATAATGGACAAGAAAACTGAAAAGTGGCCCAGCAGATTGAGAATAATAAAAGGAAGTTTTTTGGGTTTATATTGCACATCAGTAACCTATTTAAACCACTCCTGCAAAATACACTCAGGACCAGGGACTTTATGGCTAGTGAGCATCCATAGCCCAAGCTCGTGCTTTACACTGCAAGTCAGTGTCTGTACTCAGAATCTGTGTTTGTGGTTCAGAAAAACTTCTCCAATAGCCAGGATATTGTGTAATCGTTCCTGTTGAGGTATGCAGCACTTTTCATGAAGCAGATAGTACTGGCAGTTGTTGGGAGTAAAGTCATAGGGATGTGGTATAGCAGTGGACATTGCAGCACAGAAAAATGTTTGTGTTCCCAGGAAAATCATATTTTACCCAAATAACTGGTTTCTGTCAATGATCATAGAATGACAGAGAAGACACCACCTGTTTTGAAGGAAAGAGACCTTGTAAGGTTAATTAGCCCTTCTCCTGCCTGGGGAAAAGCAGCTGTATCCACATCTGACAGATGTTTTTCAAACTCATTCTGAAAAATCACCAACAAGATTCAGTGGTTTCCTAGAAAATTGTCCCAGTCTTTCCCTATTCTCATATGAGATGGCATATTTGCAAAAAAATGAAGTGCCTCCTCCAGCTGTTTCCTCAGTAATATTTCCGTGCATTGTTACAACACAAAGCACAGTCAATGAGAATTAAATGGGTAACTTAATCTTTTGAAATAAGAGCAAGAAAGTCCAGGTAAAGTTTCTAATGAAATTTCTTAACATCAGGACTTCTGAGCTTCTCTTCTGATTTATTAAGGCCCTGTTCCCTCCAGATTCTCTGATACACAGAATTTCAGAAAGAATGATGTCTTCATGAGGAAGCAAAGGTGAGGTGATTTTTTGATAGGAAGCTAATATCAGCAATAAATATAGGGCAGCTTATGCTGCTTCTTAACATAAACCTTTCTAGGAGGCTGAATAGACTTTGCATTTTCTTAATGGCGATATATTTTTTCAATTTAAAATCCTATGCAAGTGAAATACTGCTTTCATTGATGATCGCAGTAGGAAATCAATTCAGTATTACACATTCTGAAATAGATCCCATAAATTGCCTTAGCTCCTTGATTGCAATGCACATAGCTGCGGCTCTATGTCTCTATTTAGATGGTATTCTGACTGCCACCTTATTAACAGAGCAGGTGAGCTGGCAACAAAGATAAGACAGAGAGATCTGCTGACATCAGATTAATATAGACATTGCTTTCTTGATAGTATTTGATTTGCAGAGGCTCTTGAGAATTTAGAGTTCAAATCTCAGATCTCTGAGATTCATGATGTACTGTACTATGCAAGGTCATTCATGTCACTGACAACTTTATGGGCTATAGCTCTTGCCGTCTGATAGCGTTCAATATGTGCAAACACAGGCTGAAAATTACATTCATTTTTGGCTGTAACATTGCAGGTTCAGTCTCATGAACTGCTAGGAGCACAATTTATCTTACTTGTGCTGAATTAAGAAAGTGCAGGAAACATTAGACCTATGTCCCAGAGAGGGGGACTGTCATGGTGAAATTAAGGGATTAGCATTGGACCAGAGAGGCTGCAGCTGCTGGAGCAGGACAGGAGCTGAAAGGCTGCTGGAAGCCAGTCCTGTATTTAGACTCCAGCAGGACAATTCCCCCTGACTTAAGATGTATGGGCAGTGAAAATTGGTACTGGCATGCTAGTTCATAATGAAACCAGTACGTCTCATAGCCTGAGAACGTGTCATCGGCCTCTCGGACCTGTGAAGTTGAGATAAGTGGAGACAGACTCTCCTTTTACCTCTGCTTCCTGTTCTACTACAACTAGTGAAACGCCATTGCCTGTCTCATGGCAGAAGTTTACCAAAACTCAGGTCTGAAGAAACATTTCTGCCCTCAAAACAACCTCCATGGGAAGAATAAACAAACCTTTACAGGCCAATGCAAGCATTGCACCAGTCGCTGGATCCCACATTTCTCAACTCAAAGAGGTGAACATTTTTCGCTCTGCTGTGTCCAACCTAGTAACCCTGACAATATTTAAACTAATACCACAATAGGCAAAGTCATAATACTCTAAAAATCCCTTCTCGTGGGAAGGTGATGAAAGCCTTTAGAGCAGGGGATGAGGGAGCAGACAAGCCTGCAAACTTCTCCCCACAGTGAGCGATATCCATCAAGGAAAACATTTAAGTGACGCCATCCTTAGGGGCCCTGCTTCTCTCATGCTCTACAGTCTGAGGACTTGTCTTGAGAAACATCAAAGCATGCCAAGCCCAAAAGAAGAGCAGCAACTCATTCCTTTAGTTATCTTTAAACCTTTCGAAGGACAGACATTTAAAGCTGACCTGCTGTACCTATGAAAACATTTGCAGTTCTGCTCCGGAATTCAGCTAAGAAAAATTATTCATGTAACACAGTAAGATCTTAGGTGATATATCTCAGGAGGGATTTTTTTTTTAGAAGAGATGAAGTTTTTTTTAAGACTTTCACACATTTTTGTGTGCTTGCTCCAATCCCCTGCTCCTGCTTTGGTAACATCACTTGTACTTCAGAGGACAAGATGTATCAGCGCTGGGGGCAGCTGGGCTCAGGGCGAGGGGACGTGCAGCAGCTGGACAGCCAGAGCCTGCTGGAAGTTGCTACGGCTCCATTAGACCATGGAACAGAGGTGGAGGATGCGAAGTCAAAGCAGACAAATGATGTGCAATATATTAAATATGGCTGACATTGGGCACTGAAGGCTTTCAATCTCACTCTAGTGGAAGAATAACAGCCATTACCTTGATTTTGACAGTGAGAATGGATAGACAAGAAGAAGAAGCTGCACAGACATTACAGGAATAAATATAACACTAAATGCAGGGGAAATCTCTGTGTGTGTCTATGGGTGGGTGGATGTGTGCATGTGCATCTATAAACACATCTCAGGTGAGCTGTTTATGTACTACAACTTCTCAGGCTGGAGTAAGTGGATGTGGCAACAGACTGTGAGGAATTGTATCCATAATATCATTCACTGTCTGTGAAAAGGTGTTTTCAATTTGCACTGTCACATAGCAGCTAATGTTTGGTATCCACAGCAGACAGTAAATGATGTCTTTGATTTTTTTCTTTGATATAATAATTTTGGAGCAGCCAACCATTTGTTCCTCTTTCTTTTCCAGTGCAAAGATAGCCACAGACTTATCGATAAAGGAGAAAGTTCTCAAGTGGCTCAGGCAGGTGCAGCTTGTGGACTGCATATAGGCACGACCGACCCAGATGCTTTCTGATACACAACCGGCACAGCTGGGCAAGGCTGGCAGGACCTGGGGGGGCGGAAAAGAAAGTGAGAACAAGCACACCCAACCCCACCACCGGATTAAGTCAGAAAGCATCAAATACCAGCAAGATTTGCAAATCTGATCAAGCACTACACAATGACTTGTTGAAGTCAGGAAGAGCGAAATACATTATTGCTCATATTTAACATATGTAGTCAAAACTGAGTCAGCAATTTGAAAACTATGAGCACTAAACACCTTTTCTGCATCTTTTCTTGAGCAATTACTTAAAATGCCATAAAGGTGTCTGCACTGGAGAGAGAGCACCAGGATGCGTAGTCCTTGCTCAGGAAATAAGACAACTCCCAGCAGCCTTGTGAGGATAAAGAGAAGAGGGATTACAGGGAGCTGCAGAGGTGCTCAGTGTAGACCAACCATAACTGGGTGGATATGGCAAATACAGTTATTTGTTCATATATACAGAACATGCTTCTTCCAACCACGGCTGTCTCACCAGGCATCTGCACAGGTAGTAACTGCAACTCAGCCCTTTTACATGACCACGCTGTCTCTGAGTACTTATGTATGTCAGTCAGTCTATCAGTTTTCCCCAAAATAATTTCTTAATGGGTCATCCAATTTTAATTAAGTCTGACCGAAAGGAAAATGTCTTGAAGATAGAAAGTCCCCAAAATTTTTGTGAAAAAAGGCAACCACAGTAAAAAAATAAAAAAAAATTTTAAAAAGACAAAAAAATGAAGCCTTTTTGTCCTTCCCGTGCCTTGAGGAAAAGGTTGCCACATGTGAAAAACTCTTGTTAAACATCAGAGAATCCACTGGTAGGAAAGCTGTTGGAGGACTTGTCAGGATGACGGGGAGGCCAGCTTGGTTCGACCTGCTCCAGGTTGAACCTTTATGCCTGCTCAGATGTGCTCGGTTTTCAAGCCCTGGATCAGCCCTGCCCCTTCAGTTTCTGGCCAAACAGTAGCAATCACAGCAGTGTTTGACAAGCAAGGGGTAGAGGTCTGTGCTTAAAAGTCTATGCTTATGTCTTCCAGATAAGCTTCATAGTCTATGCTTTTACTACAGGAAAATGTAGAAGCCTAAACAGGCTGATAATGGTCCCTGAGAAGAAATTAATAGAAAAAAATGGGATATATAGAAAAACAAGCACTTGTACTACTATCACTGGAAGTGAAGAAAAAAGCAACCATCTTCCAAAGCAGTTAGGAAAACAGAAACATTATATTTCACATCACTTAATAGCTAGGAAGGAGAGCAATTAAAGGGAGCCATCTAAGTAACCACAGCAGAAAAGTCAGGGAGTGTAAAGAAAACTCTTCAAGACAGGTTCGTGGGGTGCTTAATTCATACCGAAAGACCTCAGAAAACACAGAAGAGGTAGGCGAAAAGGGCAGATGCAGATGTTAGATACAGCAAAATATCTGAAAGCAGGACTGAAGGGAAAGGTGAGGAAACTGAGGAAACTTCATTTTTGAAAAGTAAAGAGTCAACAGGAGCTCAAGTGCCCCTATAGTCCCTCTGACTGTAAGGTAGGAGAGGGTGACAAGTAGAAAATGGAAATCAAAAAGAAGGTTCAGGAAGAGAAAATTATTAATATTGGAATATTTCTTTATCTACACAAACTCTCAATCAGGAACAGTTGGAACAGGACAACTGCAAGCACTGCCTTTGCTCACATAGCCTGCCATTTCTGAGCCCTGAACATCTCAGATATGGGGACAGAAGTCACGAGAGGTGAGAAGCATTCAAGCAAAAGTCCTCCCAGAAGGTTTTAAACATGACAAATTAGAGCTTTGCATGAAAAGCCATGGAGAAAGGGAGAAGGACAGGAGGATATTAAGCCAATGTTTAATTTCCTCTATAAAACCCACCTGTGTGCGGAGGGTCAGCACAAAGCTTATGCGCATCACTGACAATATTAATTTACCATCCAAGAGCTATTTTGCAGCTGGAAGCAGGCTCTCCGTGCACACCATGCTTTGCTCCTTGGCGGGGAGCGAGCTGTGCCCGGGAGGGTGGCAGGCCGCCTGCATGGGGGAGCACCACTCACCCTCCGTGCCAGCAAAGCCCCGGGGTGCACAGGCTGACTAACAGCCTACCAGTGAGCTGGGAAATGCAGAGGTTAGAGGAGGAGAGGGACACTTAATTCAGCATGTCCTTATCCCAGGGATATTGCTATCGGATGCATCAAGTTCTGGCTGCATGTGATGCAGGTGTAAATGGCACAAGAGGATCTAGATTCATTTCTGCTCAGGAGTTTCTTCCGATAGACTGGAAAGATAATTAGAAATATCGTAGGAAGGCTGAAAGTAAGTTGCAAAGGGCACTGCTGGTTTGCGCTGGGATTGCAGCCCCGTGAACCGCGTGGAAGAGCTGCGTGCGGTGGAGCTGCACAGCCACCCGGCAAAGAGCTCTGCTTTCCTCTGGTGACCGAGGGCACACACGCTCCTGCCGCTTTTCTGCGGGAAGCAGGACATTGAGCCAGGGTGCTAGGCTGAACAGAAGATGGCGGTACTAAAATATTATCAATGAGTAAACTCTCAAGGCAGTTTTTAATCCTTAGAGTCCTCATAGGTAAAAAAAGTAGTTTTCCTTCAGTAGACAGGAAAAGAAAGCGCAGAACAACTGATCAATTTACCCACTAAAACCCTGACACTTGGTGGCAGATCTAGCAACAAAACAGAAATCTCTTTAGTCATTTGTGTGTCATGTGCTGCAGGCCTGAAATCAGTAGAAAAGCTAAGAGAACTTATATAGAGCATTGCATTTAAAAGCAGTTAAGAAAATGTACTTAGGTAAAGGAAATAAATACTGTTCTACTTAAGAAAGGAGAAGAAGAAAGGAAACCATTACCTTCCCGAAGCAGAAGTGCCTGCTCCACTTTGCTGTTGGGTACAGCAAGATCCAAGGCACATTTGAACTCAGCATTTCTGCATTTTGGGTTAGCACCGTAGTCTGTCAGCAAGACGACTACCTCCACGCTGGATTTCCTTGCTGCCGCGTGGAGGGGGCTGTCTAATCGCTTCCCCACGTTAACGTCGGCTCCTTGAGTGAACGAGAGTGCACGGTTAGACCTGGGAGGCAGCAGGAACTGTCCGAACCTGCATCACACAAGCTGGTTTCCACCATCCTCTATAAGTGAGGATGGATGGCACACAGGCCCCCTTCATGTCTCTCAGCAGGAGCAGTGCAAAACTCAGCAGGTCAAATACCTGCTGTATAAATGTCCTCTGAGCCACCTAACCCTGTCTGCGATGGACAGAGCTGAGCAGCTTGACCTTCAACCCAATAGATGTTCAAAGCCTACCATATGCCCTTTAGATTTGTTAATAACATAAAATCTAACATAGATTATGTTAATTTAATTACCAGGGAAAAAAGGCCCTTTAGGCATCTCATTGTAATAACTCTGGGAGCACAGCAAGCGAAATGCTTGCCCTGGGCTCTCCAGGCACAGCAGGGCCACACTTTGAGCAGGTGCGAGTCAGCTAATATACAGTGAAGGCAAAAATTTATGCTAGCTCATAGGCTGTGCCTCGACCTGCAGTGATTATTCTTTCAAGCAGCTTTACTGCTGTCTTCATCATCCACTGAGAAGCAGGTGGAGTTAATGCTTAGCATGGCAGTTTATCATAATCAAGAGTTGATTTTGGTCACTAATATTAGCCAGCCTTGTCTGTGCTTCCCGTTATCATTCTAGAAAACTTAAAGTATTTTATTTTCACATTCAGACAGTCTCAGGGAGGCCTCTGTAATTAGGGCTTTTTTAATGAGGAAATCATAAATTCTTCATGAATGCAGGTGAAATTTTTAATAGCCGCAGACGAGTCTCACAGAGTTGGGCTGCCCAAACACCTCTTGTGAAATTAACCCATGATGTTTGCAGTGGAGAGGCAGCACGGAGCGACCAGCAGTGCTGGTTCACACCACCACAGCTCACCCCCCCGGCCCCTTTTCCAGGTGTACCTAGCTCCAAAAGCTTCTTGACGCAGTCTGTTCTCTGGTACATGCAAGCCACGTAGAGCGGGGTCCCGTGCTGCAGGTCTTCTTGGTCAATGTCAACCTCATGGGCCAGAAGGATCTCCATGCACTCCCTGTGACCTGTGGAGAGAAGAGCTGTCACTGAAGTGCTGCAGAGCAGAATACGCCCAGATAAAACCAATGAGGCACAAGAGCTGGGAATAAGCCAAACCTATTTATCCATACCAGTACGGACAAGTTTTGGTTGGTTTTTTAAAATATTTTAACATCAGCAAAAGATGTATACCTCAGTTATTGTTCGCTTCATTCACAGCCTGAACGTTACCTCTCTTGACTGCTTCGTGAATGGGCGAAGCAAGGTGGTTCCTGAGCTGTGGCTTGGCTCCAAATTCGAGCAGCATGTTGACACAGGCCACGCTGCCACTGCAGCAGGCGTTAAACAGAGGAGTGATCCCATCAATGGTGACTGCGTTGACCTGGAACAGCAAGACATGCTCAGGATAATTCAATTTAAGAGGAACGCCCTTGCAGCGTGCCAGTTGCACCAGAAATGCACCAGGAAAAGACGCTTGTCTTGTTCAATTCCAGAATTGATTTTGTTAACAACTTTCAGAGTTATACGTTGTGGCACAACACATATAACATTCTCCTTTGAGGTCTGCCCTTTTTCCCAAAGAGCCAGTGCCGTAAGGCAGTGACACTGCCTGCTATGAAGGCTCCTCCTAGAGTTGCTCAGAAAAGGCAGACTTTAATTTTTATTTTTTTTTTAATGTGGAGAACTTGAGTATCTTCATGACAATCTAGTTTGCACCAACCCAAAGCCAGAATCTACTCAGATGAAAATGGCTTTGCTTTTTAAATGAAAACATTTATTTCACGGTTAATACTTTCACCTGAAAACACATTTCCAGCAAAAGAAATTTTCACAGAAACGTAATCTTAACCCCAAAGAGAAAAGGAGCTTGAAAGAGTTCGTGTGTACGTGTGTATATAAAAGAGAAAAAATTTCCTTCCTCCACCTCCAATGTAAATACCTGGCAAGAACTCCACCATTCGTTATTGTCCACTGGGACAGCACAGCCCCTGGCTTGTGCTGTGCACAGTGCCATAGCTGCTATGTTTAACTACAGAGCAAGCCCTCAGAGGCAATTAATGCAGCAAATCTGCATGTCTTTAATTCTGTGGCACATTGGAGAAGAGCAAGGCATTATGCAAGCATGTGGCAGTTTGTGCCATTTCCAAATCAGGGAGAAGAGGAAAGTGACAGGAGAGGAAGGGCTGGAGAAGTCCTGGGCCACCAGAGAAGTTGGAGGACTTTGCTACCAGTGCAAGCACTGGAGCTTTATCTCAAGGGGGTCAGAGCGCCAGGGTAGAAACACCTCAGCCCAGACAATTTAACTAGCAAGATACTTTGCCTTTAAAGCAGAGAAAGGCAGAGATGTTTAAGAACCTATTGGTTTATTCTGAGTAATTCAGCAGTGGACTGTCTGCAGTTGATACCTTCCTAAACATCGTTTGTCCTTGTTCATTTGAACTACTGACTTGCTTACGATGCTGTATGAGTTAACTCCTTTTCCCACAAAGTGTTTTTCCCACAACTATAAGCCAGTTCTTGCCATTTCCAGTGCTTCAGTCCTTGCCATCTTCAGCAGGCTCCAACTGTGCAGCAGCCAGCATGAGGGCATGCTCCCCCGTGTGAAGCTGCACTTGTGGATTTGGCAAGTACTCTGGAGGAGGCAGCTCCGTGCTCCTTGGTGCCTCCTCTGCTTGCTCACCTTTGTGGAAAAACAGTGGAGGAACAGACCTGGCTGGAAAATAATCATAACAGGGCCAGGAGGTGGGCAAGCTGGTGTGCTATGGGCAGATACCAGGTACCACAGCATGGGGGACATCTGTCTGCTTTGATTTTGGAGCCCAAAATGCAGCTTGCTCTTCCTGAAATTGCAGGGCTTCAACCAAGACTCTGTTTCAACAGCATCATCACTACAGGTCCCGTCCTCTTCCTTGAACTTCCTCCCCTTCTGCTAATTGCTCAGCTAAACTATCCCCCATCCAGCACAACTTCTAAGACAGGAAAAAAACAAAACAAAACAAAACAAAAAACCAACCAACCAACCAAACCACCAACAAAAAACCCAAAACCCAAACAGAAACAGATATGCTTTGGGGGTATCTGTATTTCAGACAGATTACATGCTGCAGCTCTGCAGCCCAGCACTGTCCCCCACCTACTCCCCAGTCTCATCGGGCAGATGTGGCTGGAGCTGCTGGAGGTCCTGGGGGTCTGTCAGCATCGTTGCACAACAGGGCCAGCGATTCAGGCAAGCTGATAAACAAGGGTAAGCAAGGAGATAAGTGAAGAAAAAGAATAAGAATTACTTCTTTGGTTTCCCTCTCCACTGGGCATTGGTTTGACTGGTAAAAGAGGAAAGACAATAGTAAGGCAGCTGTTGTGGAGTAAATGGTTTGGTAAAAAAAAAGGAAATAAAGAAGAGCAGAGCAATAAAGGAGACCAGCAGAATGGCATATTTTCTCCCAGAAATTAGACAACTGCCTGTTGATTTTATGTATAAACAGAGAATGGTGCAAAAGCAAAAAACAAAAAACATTGGAGCTATATATTATACCAGAAATAGGCCAATTTCTTAGGAAAGCAACAGGTAGTTCAGAGGTTATTCTCTGAGTTATAAAAAGATAATGCTATTAGTATACCAAAATCAAGTAAAACTAAGCAGAAAGGGGTTTTCCTTTCATCTTTCTAAGGGATTGAAATTTGGCTTACCGTTTAGGAAGTTAACAAATGCATTTTCTTGTGCAGAGTATAGCTTGATTGCCTGTTTTGGTGTTGCTCACTTTCTTGCCATATAAATTGTACTTGAAAACCCAACTGAATTAAATATATTCTTTTATATTTCATTCATTCCTGTATCTCCATTTTAAACATGTATTCTACCTTAGGTCCAGCTGGGTGAAATGTTATTTTATTAGCAGATAAATTGTTTCATTGCTTGGTGCACGTCTATTTTAACTTCCACGAGACTCCCAAACCATCCCACAGAAAACCAGAGGCAATCTCAGTGATTGTTATGAAGGGGAAAAAAAGGGATAAGTCAATTTATTAAAGGTTATTTTCACCTAGTACTTCTCATTCCTTTTCCATCAATCGTGACTACATTTCACATACGGAGGGAAAACAAAACAGAATAACGAGGTGACCCAAGCAGCCACCAGGGGAAGGAAAATCCATCACCCACAGAAGCAAAGCACTGTTTTATTTTTTCCCTCTTCTGCCTGAGATGCTCTTGTCCATCTGCATCCTTGCGCTGCCCCGCGGGCAGCCCGTCCGACATCCCCGGTGATGCGGGGAGCATCCTTGCTCCAGGTGTCCCCACCAGCATCCCCGGACTCACCTGAGCGCCGTTCTCCAGCAGCAGCTTCGCGCAGGCGACGTGGCCGCCCAGACAGGCCTCGTGGAGAGCCGACACACGGTCTGTCGTCACCAGGTTCACATCGAAACCCTGCAACGCAGGGCAGGGGGTGTGAGGGGAAAGCCCTGCCCGAAACACACGTCTCTCCTGGGGCCGGCATGGGTGCAAATGACGGTCAGACCATGGTGGGGGAGACCCATGCGGTGGGCATGGGAGGGTGCGTGTCTGGGGAAGGTGCATGGCTTGGATTAATGCTGTTCAGTGCTTCGGTGCTCGTGCCCAAAGACTGCAGCTGGTGATGGGGTTAAGGAGGAAGCGAGGACAAGCTGTGTCTCGTATTTCTAGCTCTTTACAATGCACGGTCAGTCACAGGAAAGACATTGCATTTCTTTAGCTTATAAGGGTGATGTTAACTTCCCTGTTAAGTCCAGCTGGTGGGATTCACCTCCCCAAATGGGGATGCCTCTGGCACAGGTATCAGCAGCTTGGCTGGAACCCTCGGCTCCTTCAGTGGGGAGAAACAGGCTCCCCTGGGGTATGATTCATCCCATGCTAAAGCAGCTGTTTCTAGTAGCTCAGATGAATTCAGTCTCAAAGATACTTCTGCTGACTATATGGGTTGCCCAGGGTGTTTCACTCAGAGGTGGTAAGTACCTGGTAGACCCATAAAATAGATGATACAAATCCCACCCATAAACCTGTTCCTCTTATTTGACCACCCAGGAAACATTTTACACTGGAAGGAAAGAACTGTGATTTACAAATTTGTTATTACAGGTATTAGCCTAAATGACAGTTCTTAAATCTATTCCTGTGCAAAGAGAAACCAGACGTATTCACAAAGGAGAAAGCAATTGTCATAGGCGTTTTCCCCAGAATGCAGCTAAATCTCCTGGTAATTAAGATTTTACAACATCTGAGAACAGGTCTGGAAGCACCTCCATTTTCTGCTTGATGTCTTGTATTCTGTAACACAGTTGGTCTCTACCTGACGTGCTATAAACCAGGCAGCTCACAAGATGGCAGCAATGCACTTTTCGGTAGGCAGTAGCAAAGGCGATGGGCAAAAATAAGTATCCGCGCGTAACGTAACACTGTAAAAGTCACCAGTCCCCATGCAATGAGCATTAAAAGCAACCACTGTAACCACTTTAAGATAGAAATTCTGTGATAGAAAAACAATCGTTTTTCAGTTACATGAAAGCATTATTAATGTAAAAGCTGTCACTAAAAATTTCCCATACATCAGTGCCAGGGGAATAGATAAAACCTTGAAAAAATGTTGAGATTATTCCATTTTCTAATTGTATAGAAGTTTCATACTTAATGATCAGCATATTCCTTCAAGAGGAATGTCTTCTAGACAGTCCAGATAAGAAGAGAACTATTCTCAATCATTATTCAGATACATATATTTAAAAAATGAAACAGTCATTGCGAATGAAAGAATAAGTATTGATATCTTGGGCAATCCCTTCCATTATGAAATGGAGATCGAGTTATAGATCTTACTATAGCTGTTTCCCAAACACTGCTCATGTTAAACCTTGTTTTCAGATGGTTATAAACTCTTCCCAATGTATCTGAAAAATCAAACTATTCTTTCGGTGCTGGAACAGGCACTGGTGAGTTCTTGAGCTCTTTTAAAACTCCAGTGCTCCATTGTCCCCTTATGTCCAGGCATCCCCTGGGAGCAGAAGCCTCACTGGCTTTCTTGAAAACTGTGGTCCTACAGCAGAGACTTCTGAGTGTCCCCTGTATACTCTAAAGCATAGCTCCATGTTTAATTTTAGGCTACTAGTGTAACTATATTAGAAGCCATGAGCAATGATTATGCTGCTCCATGGACAGCTTCATCCCTACATTTATCAAGCTGTGGTGAACTAGCTCCAATTCACTCTCTGCAGACATTGCTGCCTTGATCTTTTTTCATCAGCAAGGACCCTCATCCTTCACTCCCAAAATTAAATGTCTTTGGGAGAAGGAGAAAGGGTGGACTAATTAAATGATGTATAACCACAACACTGGGTGCTTCTCCAGTGCATAACCATGACCAGTGTATAACTGAGGCATCTAGCGTATAAACACAACTCTGGGTCGCCCTCTCTAATGAGATGATGTAAGGTCAGCACAAACGGAAATGGAGGGGGTCGGAAAACCGGCAAAGTCCTGAATGATTGAGCCCTCTTCCTTATTATCTCTAACCTCCATCACTTCCTTTTCCATAAAATCATTTGATATCAGCAGGTGAAGGAAAGAGGGATCAGGAAGTGGGAGGGAGAAAACTGGCCGTAAACAGCAATGCCTTTTAGCTGCAGCCATGCCTCGATAGGTGTCTGGAGCTGAAGCTTTTATACTGGCAGCTCCACTCCTTGAGGACGTTGTTCGCCTGAGCTGTGGCCTCACTGGTAAAAAGTATTTACTTTAAATATAAAAAGTCTGATGGCCAAGTCACAGAACTTACACTCAGGGAATTAATTTCCCTGCAGTTGCCTTGGTTGGGGGGGGCGGGTCAGTTGCTCATTTGTGCCAGATGAGGGCACTGAGTTTAAGCAAAGGCGGTAAGGAAGATGGTTGGCAAAGCACAAAGAACTGTAACCTGTTCTTTTGCAGCTGCCCACTTTCACGTCCAGCTTCTTGTCCTTTCTAGTATATTCTTTCCTCCTCTCTTTCTTTTGCCTGAGCGCTTGGATTCATTTGGAGCAGAGGGTTTCTGGCTGACAGCTCTCTCTTTAGGAAGAAAATGCTTGCTGGTTTGCAAAGCAAGATGCACTTTTAGAGCTTTCTACCGATTTTTTTTTTTTAATAGCTGATAAATATATTGTCCCTATTCTCAAGCCCGGTTTGCATGGTTTATCGTTGAGAAAGAGCCCAAGGATCATTGTTTATCATACAGCAAACTACAAGCTGTAACAGCTTTTGTCCTGGGCTTGTCCCCAGCATCCTAACTAAGCAAACTAACACATGCCCAAAGGCGGGTATGCAGATATATTATTTATACAGCTGCATTTCTTATACTCTGCTGCAGTCTGTTACCAGCTCACCAACTCCCAGATGCAATTCAACAGAAACTATGCTGCCTCCCAATCTTTTCTTTACCTGTGGGCATTTACCTGTGCAATCAGGGTTTTCAAAGACAGGAGGCGTCCTTGGAAGGCAGCGTCATGAAGAGGGGATCGGTCTGCCCAGCTGCCTGGAACACCAGATGCAGAAAAGTTAATTCAGGCAAGCAACAAAAGCAGATCCTGGGAGGACAGGGCAAAAACAGCAGTGTGGAAATGCAGATCAGGACTGAAATCAATGTGGGGTCAACGGTGAAACTGTTTGATAAATTGGTTTCAGCAGAGCAGCTGAGGGCTCAGCACTCCTGAGAGATCCGGCCGCTCACTAAGGGACCTAAACAAAAGCTTCTTGGCAGAACTTTTAAAAATAGCTAAAAACATGCTTCAGCAAAGACCATGAGTTTAGTGCTGCTGGGACTCACCCAGGGATTTCAGAACCCTGCACTTCTGCTATTCAAAACCATATCAGCCTCCATCTTTCCTAGGGAACTTTTGTCACAAATCATATTCCAGCTTCTCTTGCACTTCGTTGAGAGACTCATAGCAGGGAGATGCGAGGATGACTTGTCCATCAAACGAATTCTGGCATGTCCCTGGCAGTTTTATTTCCTGAACTGACAATTTCATAAATAATATCCTCCAGCTCAGACTACCAAGTAACAGGTTTCATCTTCCTTCTCACTGGAAGGTTTCAGAAAAGACATGGAAAAATAAAATCTGCCTGAAGCTTTATTTTTCTTCCTTAATCATTTTGAGTTGTTGAACTGTTCAGACTTCTTTATGTATGCTAGCCTGTCCTTTTTCTTATCTTAATCTATTCATGTGCCAGGAAAAAAAATTCCTTAGCCTAGCTACTACCTACAGGCATAGTCAGTCAGCCTGGGTTAAATCCCTGCAACTCAAGTGGAGAGAAAATTTACTTGTCCTATATTAAAATTTATAACCATACCATGACACAGTGTGTAGTATTTCTCCAAAGGCCGGCTGCATTTACAGTGCCACAGGACAGAAGCAATACCAGTGTTTGCATTCATGCTCTGTTGTACAGCAACCCCATGAGCACTGTATTTGAAACCCTTGTCCTGTTTAATTTTTTCAGCTATGCTGCACACCAGAGAGAATGGAAAGGGTGATTTATCTCCAATTCAGGTATTACCCGAGGCAGAGAGAAATCAATGAGAGGCACAGACACATCCCCGGAGACTTCAGGCCAAGGACACAGCTGAGGTTTCAGCCTTGGCCGAGGGAGTCTCCTTTTGTTACCGGAGAACTGGGATGCACTTCGGCTCGTGGGGTTACGGTTTGAGCTACAGCTATTACTTTTGTTTCCATTTATTTAAGGAGCTGTTCTTGGGCTCCCAAGGCAAAAAGCTTACATGGAAAGGCCAGCTGGCACAATGTGTGACCATGCTCCTAAGGACCGAGTAGGACGCAGCAGGCAAAATGATGGAAACAGGACCCAGGTAGGGACCAAGAAACATTCTCCTGAAAACATCCAAAAAACCCACATCCCTCATCATCATGCTGACGACTGAAATAGGCAAGCTCAGTTCAAAAAGTTAGAAGACGTTGCAAGTGACAAAAACCAGAGCCCTTATACAGCAGGAAGATTCAGAAATAACTCAGACAGCAGAGCTCCAGGGCTTGCTTTAACCTCTTATGTATATTGTACAGCGTATGCAAGCGCACGTCACGTGCGTTTCCGATGCATGTGTATGCACACACACGCCTCACCATGAAAACACATGCTGCTGCGTATTTCCATGCTAGCCACAGCAACCTACCTCCCTGAAACGTGTGGCAAATATAGTTCCCATACGGGGCACATCTTCCCTTCACGGTTGTGAGTAGCATATCTCAAAACACTGTATCTTTTTAAATTTCTATAGATAAATCAAGCAGCCCTGCTGCTGCTGCTGCTCCACTGCTTCACGGCAAAGAGAAAGGCTGTGGAGCTCCACCTGTAATCCAATATAGTGCCCCAGCAACACGATCGTATGTTTTGAAAGATTATCCTTAATGGCTTTTTGTAAATGGCAACTTGCAGATAAAAATACGTTGCAGTCTGCTAAACTTCAAGGCACTTTGATCAGAACCTGCATGAAGGAAAAACTGCTGTTTGCCACGTGTCTGACCACAATTGCATGAAGGCACTTGGAAAAAAATGACAGTAATAAGTGATTGGAATTATATTCTGGAGAATAACAAATAAATTAATAACGCAGAGAGAGACACCTGTATAAAAATGCTTTGTAAGAAATGCTTTGCTGTAGTATTTCTCTTGGACAGATCTTAATCTCTCTGCTTTGGGTGCATCTCGCGCCACCCATGTTCTGCTCTCACTCATGTGCCTGTTCATGGCGGCAATATTCATCATGAAGCAAGTGCCCAATAAATGAGTCACATAAAAATCTCTGATGTCACAAGGTTGGTATGAAACTTCAAGTAGGAAAATATGTTCTCATTAGTAGTAAATTTAAAATACTGTGTCATTTTAATTAGTGGAATTACCGGGCTTGCTAACACCTGTCCATTATTATGGCAATGATATGAAGGAACAAAATCACTTGCAAAAAAAAAAAAACACCCAAAAAATACATTACCTACTAAATATAATATATTCCCATGCTGTATATTTTTCAGAATAATTTTAGCTGTATCCATTTTTATCATCTGATTTAACAAAACAGGGTTTCTTGGCTTGGATTAATAAAGTTATTAGTTTTATCCTCCTAGTATCTCCTTTCAGAAAATCAACATGCTAAAACTTTTCCCTAAATATTCTCTGGCGGTAAAGCTAGCTATTTAGTAAAACCATCTGTAACCCCTGCTAAAGAATGCCTTTCTTCCGAGAACAATCTTTTTATTTACCGTAGTGCCTTGAGCAAATGTTGTCCTCGTTCTAGCTGGGTAATTGTTGGAGTCTCATATTTTGCACACCTAATTCATGCCAACACATACTGACACTGCAAAGACACTGCAATGGAAGGCACTTCAGGTTAAAACATTCACCCATGCATTTAGCGACAGATTCCTCATCTCAAGTAACTCGATGGTTTAAATCCTCAAGTTACAAAAATGTAGCAAATATACACACTTGAATGTTAGTGTCCTTATTTTTACTTTACCTGGGACTATTCCATAGATCTCTTCTGCTATCCTGGCAGCCTCTTTTCTGTTGCCTTTAACAATATAGAAATGGGTCAGCAGAGCCAAGGAAATCTTAATTAAAAGCTTGAAGCAAAACAAAGCAAAAATGGCAAAATAAATGTTAGTGAAAGCATGGAGTATAGAACTGCCCTCCATTTTGGTTTGCCGTTTGAATAGTTTCTCAGGTTGGCTAAGTTGCACCGGGCTATTCTTGGTATCATATGTCATCTATTTTAAACTCTCCAGAACCTGCTGTTCCCAGTTACCAAAAATACAATCTGGTTTTATTTGGTATGGGCTATTTGATACTAAAGAACAATACCAAGGATAAGAGAGTTTGAACATCCCGTGCCATACAGGAAACAAGCAGAAAATCCTTTCCAAACCCACACGAATTTAGAATAAATTTTCAGACAGAAGCTCTCCATACCACCTGAAAGCCTATACATCCACATTATATTTATTCTTTGATGTAGCAGTTCCATTTACAAAGGCTGCATAGATAAAGTTGCAGAAATTGTTCAGGGATAGTGTGAGAAGAATACTCTTCTGTCTTTCCTGTCTTGGTAAGAGGCTTTGCTGGTACTCAGATACAGAACAAAGGCAAGCATATCAAAGAAAAGCATTATCATGAAAGAATCTAAGATAAACCCACATATTTTCAAAGCCAGGGCTAAGAAGTCAAAATTACTGTGGGAGGGGAAAAAATATATTGAAAGTGTGTAATCAGAAAGACATGGTAATGTACTGGCATTTTCCATCACTCGGGGATAAAGACTTGTGTCCATTAATATCCCTTGCAAAGAGCATCTTACTGTATTGAAAGAATGGAAATATTTTTACATTATCCATCATTGATTCAAAGGTATAATATTTGAAACTGAAGAAGATGTACCCTTTCTTTAACTCCCTTTTTTTTTTTTCTTTCTGAGGGCACATGGCTTCCAGAGAACAGAGTATTTTTTCTGCATGTGATTAATTGAATCTATGTAGAATACCCCACTTCCTTTTCATTTAAACTTCTCTTGATTCCTGTTTTCCTATATGCACAGCAGGAGAGAGATTTATTTCTTTCTTTTAATCCCTTCCTTGCCCAGGTTCTCTTACCCTTTGATTTACCTGTCAAGGTAAAGAACAGGATGGCTCTCCTCTCTTAGTGATCCCAAGGAGGTGGTGGATATGCAGAGGGAAATTTTACAGCAAATTATTTCCCTGGACATTTTAGATGCAATTTGGTTTATTTTGCAGCAATACAGCTGGCTCAGTACCTTTCTGTCTTCAGCACTCTGCCCTCCCAGGTGCCCTAGAATGCTATATAAAATACACATGGACAGACTGAAAAAAACACCCCAACCTACTTGTTCATTTTTCAAGTGAACCAATTTTTCTAAAATTCTGAATTAAAGCAAGATAGATATTACATTTTTTACCAATAACTTAACATCTTACATAAATATTATGTATATCTTTCCTTCTGCAGTAATATAATATACCTGTAGAAACTATAATACCTATGAATCTGAAAGAGGAAAATTTTCTATTTTTAGTCACTTTAATACTGTTTGCCACAGGACAAGACAGCTGAAGACAGATTATATGACAAGAGAAGTTCAGTTGAAGAATCAGAGAAAAACAGTTAAGCTTGCTCAACGGAGAAACAAAAAGAAGAAATTAGCAAACAAAGGTGGACCAAAAAATGGATGATCGGTTGGCCCTAGACAAATATGAGATAATGAAAACACTCCTCCTGAAGCCAGAGGAATAGCAAAAGGTGTAAATAACAGAATATAGGGTGCAGAGAAAAAGAAGAAACAGAAGAAAAATCATTACAAAGAAAAGGATGATGGAGAAATCTTTCTCATGTGGGATCTACAAAACTGGCACTCAGTAGGAGGTAAGCAAGAAGGAATATCACCTTTTAAGAGAAAGACCAGAAAACAGACTTTAGGTTGCAAAGGACATCTGTTGATCTTCTGTCACAATCAGCCTGCCAGTTAGTAGGTAGAATTGTGCAAGTCCACAACCCTCAGAAAAATACAAGAAACTGGAGATCAGGGCATTTCCACTGAAATTCTCTTATCTCTAGAGGAAGGTGAAATTCCAATAATGCTGAAGAGCTCTTCAGGTGGTCTAAAAAACCATGAAGAAGTTTGAGCGCTTGGAAGCAGTCACAGGAACTTCCAGAAGGACAAGCTCCATTTGTGTAGTAGCAAAATGACCCTCCTGGCTTCCAAAAAAGACAACTAAAGATTTTTAGTTCAATGATGGAGTCATTTGAGAAAAAATCATGTAATCACTTAATCTGCTTTTAGTGCACAAGAACACTAGGAAAATGACTGTGGTAGATTAAAAAAAAATCATCATTGGGAAGATGACTGAACAGCAAGGTGGAAGTATTAATACTGGTGAAGGTGGTAGTCAGGTAAGCTGTAGGAAGATCTGGTGTCATCACTTGGAAACACCTGGTATTCCTGAAACTAAAGAAAGGTGAGCAACATAACATAGGCATGAGAACAGATATAACACAACAGAAGAGCAATGACAATGCAGAAACAGGAATCTCATTTTGCCCCCCTTACTGTTTTGGGCAGCTTCGTTGTGGGTTGAATGAGATTGATTATGCAATTCCATCGATAGGCTGGAGGGAACAAGTCAGCCCTGCGTAGAAAAACCATGCCTTATTGAGAATTTCTGCAGGATGCCTAAACTACTTCATGAATCACTCTAGCTTTCGGCTAGAGTAATTACTAAATTGTTAAATCAAAACATCCAGAAAATATATTAATCCTTCAATAAAATTGTCATGAGATGGTGAATGAATAGAAGTAGTTTATCTAGATCCTCCAAAGAACTGGAAAGCTAATATTTATATATCCTTAAATTACGAACATGCAAGGAATAAGCACAAAAGGCAGTTCAGCTTAGACAACAACTCATTTTCATTAGGGTTCACCTTAACTTCGGCCAACAGTGAGAAATTTCAGATGTGACCTGAAGAATTTGGCAAGGAAATAAAGATGAAAGGCATCCTCTTAAAGAAAGTAAAAGATATTGGTCTATTCTTATGCCAGACGCTCTTTGAATTACAGCAGTGTATTTCTAGTGTATATAGTTGAGAGTTTGAATATCAAATGTAGTCAAAGTAAGACAACTGGGGAAAAAAAGGAGACAAACCCTTTATCTTGAAGGGAAGAGATGAGAACAAAGATGTACTGGAGGGCCTAGCTATTTCTTTTCTATCAGTTTGATCTAATAAATGATACTACTTCTCATATAAGCCTTGCCTCATTTTTGCACCCTTAGGTCAGCCCACTTAAAACACTCCTGCTTTTAAAAAGGGATGCATATAGTGACTCACTGGTTGTTCTCAAACAAGCAGATATGGGATTCATCTCACCTCTCGCCACCCATCACACCCCATTAGGTCTGGTTATCTGAACTGCTGCTGCTGCCCGGGCAGGGAGGCAGCAAATTCCAGCAGGCAATTAATTTCCCCTCCCGTCTGCCTCCAACGCCCACGCTAGCAGGGCATGACTCCTTCTCTAGATGCCATCGGTCCCTCCTGCTTCAACAACCAGCTAAAGAACTAGCGTGCATTAGGCAAACAGCTTACGCATGGCTAAAATTCAATGAATCCCGCACAAATACCATCTCCAGAGTTACACCAGTGCTGGTCATCTGAAAACAATCCAGTCTACCTGTTAAGTTTACAAGCAAAATGCGTAATTTCAGTACAATCGTAAATTCAGATGTATAATGGCATCTTGCCTTTAGTTTTGTTCCCTTAACAAAAAACATCCACTTTTTATCTATGTCAATGCTCAAGTAATTGGAAAAAACTGTGGAAGTCAACATACTACTGAGTGTCATGAAAGATGTACAGCAAATGTGATGAGAATAGTTTCATGATTGAAAATCAAACATTAAATACATTTAAATATTTTTTAATTTAAAAAAGTTTGTAAAAGCATTTTCTTTTGAGATTGATTGTTCTTTTATCTATTTACATTAAGTCTGTATTTTACCGGAGCATCAAAAAGATGCACTTTTACTATTATTTGTTTATAGGCCTAAGCACATATGAAAAAGGACTAATGAAGAGAAATAAATATCAAAAGAGGAAAAAATAAGTTTATTTTAAAAAGATGCAGAAAAACTTGACCACAAAAATAAGTACATTACAGTGTATTTACCTTCTAACAGATCTACCCACATCCACTAAAACACAATCTGAAAGACAAATCTTAACATTCATACTTTACTTGATACCTGTTCTGGTTTAACACGCAATTTTCAATTATTAATGTGTGGTCTATACCTTAAATCACAGTGTCTGCATATAATGTATTGGAAACACAGTTCCTCCTTGTGCCCGTGGGATGGAATTTCATTGCAGATCAATGGTCCCTTCTACGAAAGGTGGGGGGGGAACCTTCTGTATAGAAGATTTTGGGGTGTTCCCTCCTCCTCCACACTGGAGGCTCTCCTCTATGCAAGACATTACTCAGTATCACTCTCTCTTTGGTAACATTTCCCCAGTATTTCACAATGATCAAATGTTACTTTCAAGCACAACTGAAACATCTTAGATTTTTTAAAATAGTTATTTTATTAATTTCTAAATACACTCATTATCTCTGTTAGGGGTATTTTTTATTATTATTGTGATTGTTTTATTAAACTTTTCCATTTCACCCACTGATGCTTTTTAAAACTAAACGTAAACAATTCAGTGACATCATCCCTTACTCCACTACACAAGGCCAGTAAGTGAATCAGTCCTGCAAAGAGTTATATGCAATACTTGCATTACTTGATGAGAAACACGTAATTCCAGTTAAACCAGTTATGGATTACATTTTTGTGGCAGCTTGTGCAGCATGTTTTGTAATAATCATCTTTCTCATAAGAAGTCCAACCACCAGTGATAGGAAGCAGCAATATGGAGTGTATTTCTGTACTTTCTCATTGTATGTTCCCACATACAATGAGAAATAATAAAAAAATATCCATTCTTTATGCTAAGGTAAACTAACTTTTAGATAAACTGTAAATTTGTCTTGTAAACAAGACTACAACAAGGTTTTATTATGTTATTCACAAGTAGACAATGTTCCAGAAAAGAAGAGAGAACTATTTTGAATAGACTCTCACAATCCTGTTGAAAATTTGATTTGTGGTTGTAGATGTTGCAGGAAACCAAAAAGATATAAACCCAAATCAACAAAATATTATTTAAATATATATGTATATAACATTTCCCTGGAATGATAATCAGTATTTTTAAAAAGTTGTTATAAACTTGAATGTTTGTGGGGGAGGGGAGGAAGTAACTTTGAGAAGTAAACTATTACCTTAATTCCACCCATTTATCCATAATCTGTGTGGCACCATTTTAGCTGACCTCCACTTTTAACGCAGAGCTTGAAAAATTCAGATTGTAATACAATGCACATTGTACATTACATATCAAAGGCTAAAAATTCTAGTAAAAGAAAATAGACTTTGTATATGGCATTTATTTCACATTACCTTTCTGTTTTTCGTGAAAATACGTTCAATGAAATTATAAAATGTCAGACGTTAGGGTAACTATGGATCTACACAAACAAGATGATATTGACAGAAGTCATGTTTTAAATACTGCCCTTTGAGGGTTTGGAAACAGTATCTTCATATTGCACAGTTTTAATATTAATACAGTTCTTTTAATATTAATACATACTCAGAGTCATAAAATCATAAGATTTTCAGTATTCAGTGATGCTTGAAAAAAAAAAAAAATTTAACCCAGTGCATTAGGCAGGGGGGCAGTTTTAGACGTGGTTGACATAAATGAGATCAATGCCTCCCCTCCCACATTGGTATGTTGTGCCACCTGTTGTCCCAGCTATACATTACTTGGGACTGCTAACAGATGCAAGGAGCCACTTCTTTTTTGTTGTTGTTTTCGGGTTTTTTTCCTCTCCTTGAAAAGCATACCTATCTGTTATTTCCATTTAAGGGATACCTTCCCAAGTTTTCACTTGCAGAACCTGCCTGACAGTGTTTCTGATGTGGTGTAGGTTAACTCACACACACTAAACATTGTCCCTCCCAGAGATGGACTGAAATGCCATTTTAGTCATAAGTAAGGGGAAGGGAAAAAAAAAAAAAGAGATCAGGAAGGGGGAGTGGGTGGGAGGGGAGAGAGAGCGAGCGAGCACAATGGTGCTTGTTAAGCCCTTCACAGATTTCTCTCTCTCTCGCACACACATACACATGTGTTACTTCACACACACGTGTGTTACTTCACACTTTGGCATAGTCTGCTGGAGGAGTTATCAGGCCTGAGCTGTTTCTGAAGGCTGTATTATCTCTAAAGAATATAATTTCTTCACCTATGTGCTTTAAAAAAATGACATAAGCTTTACATTACTTTCACACATGTAAGTGAAGAGGACAAATTTAGCACCTCTGAAAATATCAAAAATTTGTTATGGAGTTTTGATTTAGCAACAGGATGATCCAGTTTTACTAGGGAAGACCAAAATAATAACGCTATGCAGGCAAAACACTGTCACTGGGACACAACTGCTAGAACTGTCTGAAATTTCCATGGTAACAAACTTCATGACTAATGTCAAATGCCATTTTCATCTGTGGAGAGAAAAAGGTGTGTCTTGTTGGGTTTTTAATTAAATATTTTTAAAGTAGTCTCAAAGTAAAAATCACAGTAAATATCAGGAATTAGCAGGGACTACAGTAAGCTAATAATTTTTGTGTTTTGCTTTCCCAAAAACCACTAGTTTACAGTCACTTTCTGTAATATTCAAGTTGTTGAGAAAAATCTTGTATTTTTGTCTCAAAGGCTTTTGACACGTATATAAACCCTTGTTCTCCTCCCAGTTTTAAGTGCAAAAGAGATGCACACAAACTTGCATGAATCCAAAACTAAATTAAAACATAATCCTAAATTGAGGTAGCACATTTAACCAAGTTTCTTTCCAATATCTTCAGAAAGAAACCGAAGAATTTTAAGAGTAATGTCTCTATCAGCAAGCATTAAAACTTTTAGTGACTGATGGGTTCTTTCCTCTCCATTTGAGCATTTTAGGAGCTTGGAAGTTGTTCTTTAACTCTTCCTTTTTTTCCCCCAAAAATACTGTTTAGTCCATGCACCTTTAGGTCCTGTGGCATCTATTGCAACATCAATAATGGAATCTGGAGTCATCCACCTCAGAAACGTCAAGAAAAGGAAGTTCAGAACAGCAAAAAGAGCAAAAATATACCCAGTCACTGGGCCACAGTGAGACATTAGTCTGTTAAGTCGCTCATCCATTGGTAAAACTACTTCATCTGCAACCCTGTCATACACCTAAAAGGAGAAGAGACAGAAAGTAAGATCTTAAAACGTTGCTTCCACCTCAAAAATCAGGCAGTACTTTGTTGCCAGTGTGCAACATAAATTATCTATTCCTAACTACTAGATGGGACAAATATTACCCCAAAAAAGGTTTGCAGATTTTAAATGTTGATTTATGAGTACTGTTCTAGAAATTTCATTAATTTATTTAAGGAGAAAAAGGAAAAGAAATGTTCTATTTTTCTGACAGACCTCAAGAATATTTCATTAAATAGGAAGGCTGCATAATTTGTCTCTCATGTAATATTATATAGAGAGGGTTGGGGGGGGCTTAATTAATTGAATGAATTGAATTAATTTCATGTTCACACCAGTCATAGGAAAGGAGTCTGAACATGCAATTACTAGATTTTCCACACAATGATGGATGAACTCATAGATGAGTTGGCAATCTTCCAAATCCCTGTATTTGAACAATCAAGCTAATCATAATAGGTTACTGATTTTTATTTAAAGAAACACTAGTAATTGCTAGTAGAAATTTTAAAATTCTATGAATGTTAAAAGGAAATACATGCTACTAGTGACTTAATATACATATTAACCACAACCACTAAAAAAAAATAAATATATAGTCCTGTGTTTCATAGAACAGAAACATAAATACCCACTACACAGAACTCAAGAAAGGCTTAAAGGATACCGTTTTCCCCTTGAGAATATTACAGGCTTCACCCTATGGGTACCTTCACAATAAGCTAACAAACAACTATCTTTTGTACAATGCAAGTTCCATGCATACTTCTTCCAATTATACTAGTATTTTCCTTTACACAGTTCTAGTTGTGGGTTTTTTTAAGAAAGGGCTATAAAGCATACTGAAAAGTAGTCTGACTTCTGTAAATATTTTGCAATTGAAATGTTGCTTGCAGTGACAAAATCATAAAATGAATTGTACTGACAGTACTTGAAAACTATAAAATAAACTGGTTGTACACGATACATCAAGGAGACTTATACGAGATATATAGATATATATATGTATATATGAGTACACTACAATGTAATTAAGAGGCATGTGATTCAGCTACTCTCTTGCCTAAAACATAGGGTCTGAAGTTAGAAATGACAGATCTCCACAGGCATTTATAACATTATTGCAATTAATGCTCTTCGTTAACGGCAGAGTTTTTGTGCTGAAGCGCGGTTCTAATTCTGAAATATGATTTCAAAAGTGTGATAATTTATTTTCATTACATCCATAGCTTATATAAATTCAGCTATGTTCAGCCTACCAGTATTAAACTACCTCTCAGAATTTTAAACCACTTGTTAGCATGTGGCTGACAAAAACTTTGTCATGAATTCTGTCCTTTCCTTTTCATACATCTTATACAGCATGTTTTCCAGTTATGCCAGAAAAAGTTACTTAATGTAAAGACTGGAAAACATATGAGTAGAAATGTGACTAAAGATCTAGGCTGTTCTTCAGAATATATATCAGCAGTTACAACATATAAAACAATGCAAATAGAAAAAATAAACACCTATCCAGGGATGTATTTGGTGGGGAAAAACAAAGTATTTTCTGAACCTTTTTGAACCATGTATGTTCTGACAGAAAGCACACTGAAAAATTACACTGAAAGATTACATAGAGAATACATGAAAACATGCATAATAACGTTTCAAAGAAGCAGCTGTTTCAGAAATGTACTTTGAGATAATCTAAAAGAAGAGGTTATACGTACTTTCTCAGTTCTCTCTGCTACATTCCTCCACGTATAAAATGTCTTTACTTTACTATGGACAGCTTCTGGAGATGGTAGTGTTCCTGACCTGAGCTGGGCAATAGCTTTTTCTAATCCATCACACAAAGATTTCACAGACGGTTCACATAGAATGATGAGATTATCTGGAAGCACCTCAGGAATCCCACCAACTCTTGTACTCACCACCTTTAAAAGAAACAAAAGAAATAGCACATATCCTGCATAACAATAAGATAGAATGATGACACTGCTATTACACTGTTTAGGTGCAGCACTTAAGAAGAACAGGAAAAAAAAAATACAATGAGTGGTTGTCATGAAGGCAAAGACTGATATGCTTTGGGATTTTTACCTATATGCAACCTAAAGGCCTAGGCCCTAGGAAATATCTAGCAAGCAAATTACCTTTAACGATGTTCAGAATGATTCTTTGGTAGCATGATAAAACAGAAGACTTAGACTAAGGAGTGGTTTATGACACATCTTCCCTACAGGTGTTTGTCACAGTACACAACTAAATCTGTGTAACTAGATTTTGGACTTTCTCTCCAGAGTCCCTCATGAAAACTGTTACCCCTACTTGGAGAGGACAGTTTTACCACATCTGACCCCAGTTTATGCCTTCCAGGCTACTGAACATACAAGAATTTCTTTAGAAATTCACTAATTTTAATCTGAATTATTATTTTTAAAGGGAAATCAGAAACTACTAAAGCCCACATTACACAATTATCTCTAAACAGTGGGTAACAGTAAGAAAACTGCAGAACTTCCTTATCTCTATAGAAGAAAACAGATGACAGGGGAATAATTACAACTAGGTAGTACTACTGTCAAAGGATATTGGAGCAAAAAAAAAAAAAAAATCCCTTGCATTTTCTACACTTCCTGTGTATTAGATACTCTTATCAGTCTGTCTTTTAAAAAAAGTTACTTTATATTTTAATGTAAGAATCTAAGTTCTTTATGACTGTTGATTTAACTTTTTTTTTTTTTTGAGTTGTTAATCTGTAAATTACCCAGAAAAGGCTTTTACTATTTTCTCTCTCTCCAACTCTCATGTTGAATCCCTACATGGTAAGGCAAATACATCCTCAGTTAATACAAGAAAACAAACGTCAGTTCTTAGCGCAGGAAGAAAACTGTTCCAGTACAATGGTTTAGTCTAGTAATTCAATATGCCTGACTGACCAGTCACCCATGCTCATAAGCCATTTTTCTGCAGCTCCTCTTAAAGTAGTGTCAAAGTAAACCTTCATCAACAGTAACTACCCCAAACTCTGTAAAGGGGTACATAAAACCTCAGCATTTTGGAGAGGCAGCCTGGTTAGTTCAGGGAACTGAGAGTTAGCAGATCTACGTGTTATTCCCAATTCTGCACAAGTTTCTTCTGGGAGCTTGAGCAGTTTTGGTTAACCCTTCTGCCTCAGCTTCCAGGTGATGTGTAAATGGAGATAGTATTTGCTCGCTTTTGTAAAGACAGAGCCTCAGATGAAATCAAATGTTACAAGCACACATTATTTAATCATAACCTTTGTTTAAAATGGATACATGCATTCCAGGTAGCATTTTGTTTGTTTGTTTTTACCTGTAAACCACAGCTTGCTGCTTCCACAATTGCCATACAAAAAGCCTCGGTGAGGGAAGTGTTGAGAAAAATGTGTCCCTGGACTAGAACATTTCTAACATCCTGGTGTTCCAAGGCTCCTAGGAGACGAACCCTGCATAAAAGAAAAAAAAAAAACCACAAAAAAACCCCCACTAGATTTGGACTGTAATAATGCTGTATAGTGTTACACATATTCTGAAAAATGTACCAATGCTTCACACTTATATAGCAAGAGAATGAATTTTTTCCAGAAATGAAGAAATAGAAGACTCTGCTTCTTATTTTCATAATAAAAAAACCTTCTGAAAGTAAAGTTGATAGAAGAAGTTACTTTGTTTTAAAAGTAAATGCCTTCAAAACATTGCTTCTGAGTTTTCTAGTTCTGTAAGAGAACATGGCTTCATGCAGTTAATAATTAAAATTTGTCATCCTTCCTTTGTTTAGGTGTATTATCTGAATTTTCAAGGTGAGGTCTGATCAATCTCAAAGTCTGAGGGGGGAGGGAAGGGGAAGTACTTAGGATACTATTACCAGCACCTGTTATTTTGAAGAGATACTAGGAAACAGAAAAGGGCAAAACAAGAACGATACTAACAAACAATTTTATCAGAGGAATCACTGACTGAAGTACAGAATGGGCAACAGAAAACAGAGAAAAGGAAAAGGAAAATTAAGCACCTTGTCCTTGCCACATAAAACTGTCTTTGAACAGGAAAACTGCAAAGAAATACACAAATCCATATGCAAAGAAACATTTTGATAACACTGTAGCACCAGGAACATGTTTGTAGTACCACAAGAACACATACTAGATAAGCACTACCCTGAAGCGTGGCATACTGAAATAATGAAATGAATCACTAGCAGTCATCCTCACAAGCAGCAGCGACACAAACTAGCTACCTAACACCTTAAGCCATATGGTAACAGGTGATCCAAGCACCACAGTTTGACATAAATCATATTCCTCTCTGAAAGTCAGATTACTCTGTTGTGGATGCCCCATCCCTGGAAGTGTTCAAGGCCAGGCTGGATGAGGCTTTGGGCAACATGGTCTAGTGGAGGGTGTCCCTGCCCATGGCAGTGGGGTTGGAACCAGATGATCTTTGAGGTCCCTTCCAACCCAAACCATCCTATGATTCTATGATACCCTGACTTGAGTGAAGGTTCATACAGGGTCTATTTCTATCAATTAACTTGCAGGTTCATAGTCCAACTCTGTTAAGTGTTCAGTTAGTGTCTGGTGTATCTGTCTTGCCTTCAGTAGTTGTCATCTCCTCCAGCCTCATGTTTTTGGGTGGGTTTTTTTTTGGGGGGGGGGGGATGAAGGCATGCAGAAAGGATGTTGCTGTTGTCTTCCCCACCCCTAACGTACATTGAAAGGTGATAGGCACGCATAGAACAAACCTGTCATGTAACTGGTATCTTTCCCGGACTTCTTCCAGTATGATTCGTTTTGGTCCTTCTCCACCAACTAAGAAATGTAACTCTGGATATTTCTGACAGAGCTCAGGAATGATACCACTAAGCAAATCTATACCTAAAAGTAGAAAAGTTAGAGCAAGCCGTTATTGTATTTGATTTTAGAACTTATCATGAATAGAGTTATAGCAGTAGGCTACATCAAGAGAAGAAAAAAAAAGGTCTCTGAAGACAGTTACACTACTGAGCACAAAATTCTGAAAGAAGACAACTTGTGATCTATTAGGAGACAAATATGATGAAAAAAATCACTTAAGTTGCCGATGCTTGATTAAATAAAAAACAGTTAAAATACTTTTAACAGAATATATAAGTTATGGCCTAAATCTTATCCCAAATACAAGCAAAACCTTCCATTTTTCAAATTTCAATTTTCAATATTACAAAAACAATGCACTTCTGAACCCAACACACACAAACCGAAATGTACATTTCTTCTTCTTGAATGCACAGACACAAAAGGTCAGAACTGTCACCTTACAATTCCCATTTAAAATCCAACCTATGCCACAGATACAGTGTAAGTGGTACCTAACCAAGACCTTTCTTACCATATCCTAGAGAGGAAAAAAAAAAAACAAAAAAACCACCCCAAAAAACCAAAGTAAACTTACATTTTATCCCCCATTACCTTTTCTGTAAACAAGTCTGCTGACAACAACAATTGTTATTGTACTGTCATCCCTGCTTGACGGGTCTGGAGTAAAGTCGGTGGGATCGACAGCATTGGGGATGACGGAAACTATCAAAGGGTCCAAAGCTGCTCGCAGCACCGTGTTTTCCTTACTTGTGTAGGAGACACAGATGATGTGGTTTGTGTCACACAGGGACACCGTCAGAAGTTTGTTGGTAAGCACGGAGCTGACATCTGCAAACCCAAAGAGGGAGTGATCCGTGAACACCGTCCGCAGCCCCATGGTCTTGGCGTGGAAGAGGGCGTCGTGGGCCATGGCGGAGAAGGAGCTGTGGGCATGGACGACGGTGACCCTCTCCCGCACGAATATGTACCTGAGCAAGGGCAGGCTGTGAAAAAAAGTCGTCGCCGTGGACTGGTTGTACATGACCTTCAGGGGCAAGTAGTAGACTTTCAGCCCGTTGGTGAGGTAGCGGATGCCCTTCCGGTGGCCGTAGGCGTGGGTGACCACCAGGACCTTGTGGCCCCGCTCGATGAGGCACTGCGACAGCTGGTACACGTGGCTCTCTACGCCCCCCATGTTGGGGTAGAAGAAGTCCGACACCATGCAGATGCTGTGCGCCGTCCCCGCCGGGCCCC